AGGCAGGTGGACTATCTGAGGTCAGGAGTTCAAGGCCAGCCAGGCCAACATGGTGAAGTCCCATCTGTACTAAAAATACAAAAATTAGCTGAGTGTGGTGGTGCATGCCTGTAATCCCAGCTACCTCGGAGGCTGAGGCAGGAGAATTGCTTGAATCTGGGAGGCAGAGGTTGCAGTGAGCTGAGATCGCACCACTGCACTGCAGCCTGAGCGACAAGAGTGAAACTCCATCTCAAAAAGAAGAAAAAAAGTTGTTGGGCAGATGTCTTTACAGTATTTTTTCTTTTCTGTGTGAGACTGTGGTTGCTTTTTTTTTTTTCTTTTTTTGAGACGGAGTTTCGCTCTTGTTACCCAGGCTGGAGTGCAATGGCGCGATCTCGGCTCACCGCAACCTCCGCCTCCTGGGTTCAGGCAATTCTCCTGCCTCAGCCTCCTGAGTAGCTGGGATTACAGGCACGCACCACCATGCCCAGCTATTTTTTTTGTATTTTTAGTAGAGACGGGGTTTCACCATGTTGACCAGGATGGTCTCGATCTCTTGACCTTGTGATCCACCCGCCTCGGCCTCCCAAAGTGCTGGGATTACAGGCTTGAGCCACCGCGCCCGGCCCTGTGGTTGCTTTTTTGTTACCAGGCATTTGTGCACAAGAACCCTCCCTTTACAGCCTTCCCCAGCTGTTTTTTGTTTTTTTTTTTAACACAAGTGACTCCGTTTTGATTCTGACAACTGTCACAGCAAGGAAGGTGGCAGCTCTTTTCTGCTGGGATATTCAAACTGGGGCTTCTGTTACTGCCTCCTTACCTGGGAAGATGGCGTGTTGGAACATTAAGCCAATACAGAAAGAAAGGCAAAGCCAAGAGGTAGAGAGAGCCCAAGTGCCTTGGGCTCTGGGATCCATTACAGGAACAATGCGTTCCACCATCCGCCCTTTTTTTTTTGTTTTGTTTATGCCAGTTTGAATTTGAAGTCTGGCATTGTGAGTGGGGATGTCCTCACTTCTAAAGGGTAGGCCCAGGGGGCGATACTCTGGTAAAACAGGACTGTGGGATATATCAAGCTTCCTGCTTTTTGGGAAGTCAGCCAGGCTGTGCTCTGTGCCATCAGCTTCCTAGCCTGTGTTGGGCCCCTTGGGGGATAAAGCTGGCCTGCTGCTTCCATCTCTGTGGCACTGGTGACCCCAGTGAGGGTGCAACCCCATGAAGAAGTAGGGGCTGTCACTGTGGCTCACTCCGGTGTTCCTGGATCAGTTCAGGCACTTGGTGAATGTTTAGTGAACAAATGAGCTGAATGAACAAATGGAGAAAAGCTGGGCAATCGTAGCAGCTGGGTTGGAGAGACACAGGGGAGCTCCAGCCCCTCCCAGCCTGGCAGTGTGGACACTCAGTGAGCTTCCATTTCGTTTGGGGGTGGTAGCTGCTAACTTTGTGGAATGATACTTATGTGGCTTCTAGTCTTGCTGCACCAAAACTCTCCCATGCCCACTAGGGACCTTTACCTTTTTGTACAGTGGGGACAATGGGCACACTTACTAGCTGGGGTTGTGGTGAGGTATTACCTACAGTGTAACAGGTATTGATGCAAGAAGGAAGTTGAGATTTGTGTCAACATATAGGGCCATGTGGGTGCACATGAGACGGCACTGGTCACATATTGACCACCGGAGGCAGGTGGATGAGCACATTGAAGTTGGTGACAGTCATCTGTCGGTATCTGATAGGTGTTCCAGGGTGCCCTACAGCTGCCAAATTCCAGGGATGCTCAAGTCCCTGATATAAAATGGCATAGTATTTCCATATGACTTATGCACATCCTCTTGTATACTTTAAATTCATTTTTAATTATGGATACATTATAGTTGTCAATATTCCTTTTTTTTTTTTTTTTTTTTTTTTGAGACAGTCTCACTCTGTTGCCCAGACTGGAGTGCAGTGGAGTGATTTCCGCTCATTGCAACCTCTGCCTCTGTCCCCAGGCCCAGTTAATTTTTGTAATTTTAGTAGAGACAGCGTTTCGCCATATTGGTCAGGCTGGTCTCGAACTTCTGACCTCAGGTGATCTACCTGCCTCAGCCTCCCAAAGTGCTGAGATTACAGGTGTGATGAGTTCCCGTGCCCAGCCCCCCCCCCCTTTTTTTTTTTGAGACAGAGTGTGGCTCTGTCACCCAGGCTGGAGTGGAGTGGTGCAGTCTTGGCTCACCACAGCCTCCACCTCCTGGGTTCAAGTAATTCTCTGCCTCAGCCTCCCAAGTAGCTGGGATTACAGGTGCCCACCACCATGCCTAGCTAATTTTTCTATATTTTTAGTAGAGATGGGGTTTCACTATCTTGGCCAGGCTGGTCTTGAACTCCCGACCTGGTGGTTTACCTGCCTTGACCTCCCAAAGTGCTGGGATTACAGGCGTGAGCCACTGTGCCTGGCCTAATTTTTTTTTTTTTTGAGACAAGGTCTTGCTCTGTCACCCTGGCTGGAGTGCAGTGGTGCAGTCATGGCTCACTGCAGCCTCAACCTCCTGGACTCTAGCAATCTGCCTGCCTCAGCCTCCCTAAGTGCTGGGATTACAGACATGAGTCACCAAGCCTGGTCCCATAGAATCTAAACCATCTCTAGATTATTTATCATGCTTAATACAACATAAATGCTGTGCAAATAGCTATTATACGCTGTATTGGATTTTTTTTTTTTTTTTTGATAGGGTGTCACTCTTTTGCCCAGGCTGAAGTACAGTGCTGTGACCTTGGCTCACCACATCCTTGACCTCCTGGGCTCAAGTGATCTTCCTATCTCAGCCTCCCAAGTAGCTGGGACTACAGGTGTATGCCACTGTGACTGGCTAATTTTATTTTTTTTGTAGAGATGGGGGTTTTGTTCGCCATTTTACCCAGGCTGGTCTTGAATGCTTGGGCTCAAGCAATCTGCCCACCTTGGCCTCCCAAGGTGCTGGGTTATAGGGCATGAGTCCCTGTGCCAGCCTACAGTGCATTGTTTACTTGTACTATTTTTTATTCTTGTGTTATTTGTTTCCAAATATTTCCAATCTGTGGTTGGTTGAATCTGTGGGCATGGAATCCCGATGGATACAAAGGGCCAACTGTATGCTAGTCTGTCTTCTAGAGATGTTTGTAATTTTTCTTTCTTTTTTTTTTTTTTGAGACGGAGTTTTGCTCGTTACCCAGGCTGGAGTGCAATGGCGCGATCTCGGCTCACCGCAACCTCCGCCTCCTGGGTTCAGGCAATTCTCCTGCCTCAGCCTCCTGAGTAGCTGGGATTACAGGCACGCACCACCATGCCCAGCTAATTTTTTGTATTTTTAGTAGAGACGGGGTTTCACCATGTTGACCAGGATGGCCTCGATCTCTTGACCTCGTGATCCACCCGCCTTGGCCTCCCAAAGTGCTGGGATTACAGGCTTGAGCCACCGCGCCCGGCCTGTAATTTTTCTTGACAAGTCTGAAAAGTGAAGTATGTATGATCCTGCAGTGGTGGGTCCATCAAACCCATCGAATGTCCAATGGCCCCGATGCCGCTTCATTGACAGCAACAGATGGGAAGCTCGGGGCTGCCAGGGGGGATGCAGAAACTCAGACCTTTTCACTCAGTTTTGCTGTGAACCTAAAGTGGGTCTAAGAAAGTCTGGGAGCCACGGTGGCTCAGGTCAGTTGTCCTGGCGCTTGAGGAGGTGAGGCTATGCCCAACCTGAGCAACATAAGAAACTCTCATTCATTAAAAAAGAAAGAAAGAGGAGAGAGAGAGAGAAAGAAAGAAAGAAAGTTTACAAAAAAGGCCAGGCACGGTAGCTCACGCCTGTAATCCTAGCACTTGGGGAGGCCAAGGTGGGTCGATCACCTGAGGTCAGGAGTTCAAGACCAGCCTGGCCATTATGGTGAAACCCCATCTTTAAAAAAAAAAAAAAAAGTTGGCCGGGCGCGGTGGCTCAAGCCTGTAATCCCAGCACTTTGGGAGGCCGAAGCGGGTGGATCACGAGGTTGACAGATGGAGACCATCCTGGTCAACATGGTGAAACCCCGTCTCTACCAAAAATAACAAAAAATTAGCTGGGCATGGTGGCACGTGCCTGTATCAGGAGGCTGAGACAGGAGAATTGCTTGAACCCAGGAGGCGGAGGTTGCGGTGAGCCGAGATCGCACCATTGCACTCCAGCCTGGGTAACAAGAGCGAAACTCCGTCTCAAAAAAAAAAAAAAAAAAAAAAAAAAAAAGTTTACAAAAAAAGGAATACATGTAGAAAGTTCCTGGTGCAGAGGCAGGACTGGGTGTTGGCTGTGTGACCTTTTCAGTCTTGGCATCACCATCATTCCTCCCTGGTGAGCCTCTCCTCTGGGGCACCCCTATGCCTCCAACTACGCACGTGCCTGCTCCAGAAGCACTTTTGTCTTCTGAGACCCTGTCTGTTCTCTGCACTCTCCCTGGGGTTGGCAACACTGAACCCTGAGTCCAAGGCTCTGAAGTTCATAGCCCCTAATGTGGCCCCTCAAGGATGACACAATGCCTCCCATCTAGGAACTGCCTTCTCTCCTTTTGCTGAACCCAGACTGCTTCTGGACCTCTGGATTTGATATTCCAGAAAAACTGCTTCCACCTTTTTTGCTGGCTCTCGGTCAGCGAAGGGAGGTATTAACTGTCACTGCAAGAGATGCGAAAAGCCCAGGTGACTCGACCCCTTGCAACTCCGACTTCAAAGGCAGCCTTAGTCTGTGGAGACATGTGCTCTTGGAGGAGGCAGGTGATGGTGGGGGGCTGGGCTGGTGTTCATCTCTGTCCCTGTCCCTACAGGCCTGCAGCCCCTGAATATGTATCGTCTCTCCCAGACAAAGCCACGATGGCACCCGCTGGGGCGGCTCTGCTCACTGCTTGAGTCACATCTCAGTCACCACGGGGCCTGCTGGTGGCAGTGGGAGAAGGTTGGTTCAGACTCTGTAATCTGTCCTCCTGCACCCGAGGACACTACTACCCCTGACTCGGCACTGACAACAGTGAAGGCATTTCTTCTGTGGGGCCATCACTTTATTAAGGGGTCATCTAAAAGGTGGGCCCCTGACAAACCACGGGACTGTGATCGGGCTCCAGCTACTTCGCCACCCAGGCCAGCCTGCTCCAGGGGGCCCTTCCTGCTTAGAGCAGGCGGGAGGCAGTCAGGCTCATGAAGCAGCAATCAGGTTTGGCTCACTGGAAGGAATCACATTGGAAACATGTTTAGCCTGCAGTGCAGAGTGGCTCTGGAAGGGAGATGTTCTGGAAGATGCCCCAACCTGCTGGGGACTGCTTCAACACCCAGGGCCCTTTCAGCACTCAGGATGGGCATGGAGATGGCATGAGGAATGGAGAACAGGGCTGGATGGGCTGACTGGTAGGCGCAGCATTAGGAAAAGGAGGCAGGTACCCTGGGCTCCCCTGACAAAGTGCAGCAGGGCCAGCCCCTGCAGTCCCCACAGCCCCCACAACCTTGAGACCATGTTCTGGTCACTGCCTTGGATCCCTGATGTGTTGGGGCCAGGGAGCACTCCTGCCCAGGCACGGGGTGTGAGCCTTGGCCTCTGCCCGCCCAGCAGCGCGTGTGCCTCCCTCGGCCTGGCCTCCCTTGGCCTGGCCCTGGCGCTGGCCGTGCTAGCTGGCCGAGCTCCTCCGTGGGATACAGCCTTCCATCTCCAGCGCCTCGGGCCAGCCTTCATACTTGTTGGTGTGCTTGCTGTTCTTCACGTGCTGCGGGCAGGGGAGCAGGAAGTCACCACCTTGGCCCTCAGGGACAGGGGGCAGGAGTGGACCAGGGCCCGGGCTTTCAGTCACCTGTGCTGTGTTGGCCAACGGTGTACTCTCAGGGCACTTGGCCCCCTGCCCCCCATCCCAGGGAAACATGGTGCCAGCTGTGCTAGCCTACCCCTCACAGCTGGACCAGAACGGTCCCCTGCTGGGGCATGAGCAGCAGGGGCGCCTCATGGCATACAGGCAGAAGGGGCGATGGGCCGTCCTATGCTGGTGGGGGTGAGGCCAGGCACCTGCCGTACCTGCTCGAAGGGGCTCTTGTTCTGCACACCCTTGGCCCCCACAAACACCCAGCTGTCCCGGAAGGCCAGCTCCTTGGCGTTCCTGCTTCCCAGCTCGCCGAAGAGCTTTCTGGTCTCTTCATTCATCCTGCAGCATGGGAGGAAGAGGTGTCAGCTGTCCCTGAAGAAGGGCAAGGCTGAGGCTGGCCTCCCCGAGCACTTACTTGGTGGCTGGGTCATCGTAGGATGCCACAAACACCAGGGTGCCTTCGTGCAGTGGCCGAATAAACTTCAACAGATCGTTGACATCTGGGGGGGGGTAGATGCCACGGAACAGGGGTCATCAGGGACCACGGAGCACCCTCCCCACCAGCCTGTTCTCCAAATGAGGAAACGGAAGTAGAGATTGGGCCTCGGACATGCCCCACCAAGGGACAGACTGGTGTGAAGCCTGTCCCTGTCCCTACAGGCCTGCGCTGGGTTAGAAGGAGTTGCTGAGTTTGTCCTCATGAGCTCCTGCAGCCTCTAGACCAAGCTGGCAATGTCCCTGTCCTTTCTGAACTCAACAAGGTGACTGAGAAGCCCCAAGTACAGATAGAGAGAGGAGTGTCTCAGGGGAAGGTGCCCGGGCCATTTTGCTGTGGTGACTCACCTCCTGCCCACATGTCAAAGGCCCGGGCCTCGATGAGCTCGCCGCTGACCCCTGTGTCAGGAGGGAGGGACCCTGCTGGGTGAGCCAGGCCAGCCCCAGGGCATGGAAGGCAGGTGGTAACGGGACAGCCCTTCTGGAAGCTTTCAAACAGCCCCCCAATATGCATCCATTCATTCAGGCAGCTGCATCCCACCGCAAGCTGTGGTGCCTCTGTCTGGCATTTGAGGCCCTCCAGGGACTCTCCATCAAGCACCCGCCAACCTCCCAGAACCTTCTAGTTCCTTATTGCCATCGTGCTTTTTTGTTCACTGGGTCACTCCTCTGTGGAGCCTTCGGCTTGCACAGATTCCTTCCCAGGGAGATCCTGAAGTGGGGGGGGGGGCGGGGGAGGGCAAACACCCAGAGGCCTCCTGGGGAGGGAGCAGGGAAGCTGGGGCCTCACCATTCACCAGGGCGATGTTCAGCCCACGGCCCACGTTGTCCTTGACGCTGCTCATCAGCCTAGTTGGGGGTGGCGGGGGGAGATCCCATGTGGGCACATTTGCTCCACTCTCCCTTGCAGACCCGGCCCCAGATCCCCCACTCCCTCCCCAACCCCCCTTCACCCCAGGGAACTTACATCTTGTCCTCAAGGCAGATCTTGGGCCCAATGACGTTGGCAGCTCCGCTGACCATGCGGAAGGCCAGGTGCTCCTCAGGACATGGCTGAGGCAGGCCACACTTGTACTTCCTGGCCCGTGGCTCTGGGCAGGGATAGCAAGTGTTAGCCATGGGCCTGGCCCTGAGGTCACCTGAGATCTGAAGGGGAGGTCAGGACCAAAACACATGGTGGAACAAGTGACCACAGAGCTGGCAACAAGTAGGGGATGTGGTTCAGGCTAAGGCTGGGGACACTTCCAGAGGCTCTGTGCCGCTGGTGAGGCCACGGGGACTCAAGTCAGAAGGACTTTCTGTTACCAGTGGGAGAAAAGAAAGGATGCTGAGGGCTCGCCTGGGTCACTGCACAGCCAGGAACAAAGCAGGGGTGTAGCAAGTCAGGCTGGGGGCCCGGCTGCCGGGACGAGGCACACAGGCTGATCAGAGGTAAGGACAGCAGGGGTGCAGCCTGGCTCCCGAGTTTAATGGGGGTTGGTTAGGAGGACTAGAACAGGATGGCTTCTATTACGGGTTGAATTCTGTCCCCTCAAGATATGTTGAAGTTCTAACCTCCAGTACCTCGGAATGTGACGTCTGGAAATAGGGCTTTTGCAAGAGAAATGAATTGAGATGGGGTAATACTGGAGTAGGCTGGGTCCTTAATGCCACAGGACTGATGTCTTTCTAAGAACAGAAGTGACAAAGACAGAGGGAAGACAGCCATGGGACAGTGGAGGAGGAGTCAGGAGTGACACAGCCAGAGGCCGAGCCTGGGGCCACCGGAAGCTCGGCGGTCAGGAAGGACCCTCCTGTACGACTTTCAGAGTGGGCACTTCCCTGCTGACACCTTGACTTCAGGCTTCTGGCTTCCAGAATGGGGAGCGAATCCATTTCTGTTGTTTTGGCCACCCAGTTGAAATGGCAGTTCCAGGAAATACTTAAAAATGTGGAAATGGCTTTGGAACTGGGTGGTTAATAGAGGCCTGTCTTAGTCCATTTGCTGCTGCTGTAACAGAATACCACAGACAGGGTAATTTCTAAAGACAACAGATTCATCTGGCTCCTGGTTCTGGAGGCTGGGAAGTCCAAAAGCATGGCACTGGCATCTGGTAAGGGTCATCCCATGGTGGAAGGTGGAAGGAAGCGTGTGAGACACAGGGCAAAGGGGGCCGAACGTCACGGCAACTAACCTATCCATAACAATGGCATTCATCCATCCACGAGGGCAGAGCCCTCCTGACCTAACTACCTCAAAAAGGCTTGCCTCCCGATACCAATACATTGACAATTAAATTTCCACACGAGTTTTGGAGGGGACATTGAAACCCTATCAAGGTGTTAGAGAAGCTCTGGACTGCCTTTCAGAGACTGTGGTAGGAGTATGGATGTTAACGGTGATTCTGGTGAGAGGAGGAAAAAGCAACAGAGACAGCCTCTGCGATCTTAGAGAATACAAGATCATGAACAGAACACTGCTAGAAACATGATGTCAAAGGTGCTTTTGGGTTGGGTGTGGTGATTCATGCATGTGATCCCAGCACCTTGGGAGGCCAAGGCAGAAGCATCACTTCAGGCCAGGTGATCAAACCAAGCCTGGGCAACATAGTGAGACCCTGTCTCTACAAAAATGACAAACTAAGTTAGCCAGGTGGGGTGGTGCCCGCCTGTAATCCCAGCTACTCAGGAGGCTGAGGGAGGAGAATCACCTGAGCCCAGGGTGCTGAGGCTGCGGTGAGCTGTGACTACACCACTGCCTTCCAGCCTGGGTGAGAGAGCAAGATCCTGTCTCAATAAATTCAATAAATAAATAATATAAAACATTATGTGTAATAAATTTGTCTTTTAGTATTTTTCTTTTCTTTTCTTTTTTTTTTTTTGAGATGGAGTTTTGCTCTTGTTACCCAGGCTGGAGTGCAATGGCGCGATCTCGGCTCACCGCAACCTCCGCCTCCTGGGCTCAGGCAATTCTCCTGCCTCAGCCTCCTGAGTAGCTGGGATTACAGGCACGTGCCACCACGCCCAGCTAGTTTTTTTGTATTTTTAGTAGAGACAGGGTTTCACCATGTTGACCAGGATGGTCTCGATCTCTCGACCTCGTGATCCACCCGCCTCGGCCTCCCAAAGTGCTGGGATTACAGGCTTGAGCCACCGCGCCCGGCCCTGTCTTTTAGTATTAGAAAAAAAATAAAAGTAAAACATTAGTTGGGTGTGGTGGCATATGTCTATGGTCCCAGCTACTCGGGAGGCTGAGGTGGGAGAATCACCAGAACCTGGGAGGCAGAGATTGCAGTGAGCCAAGATCACTCCACTGCACTCCAGCCTGGGTGACAGAGCGAGACTCCATGTTAAAAAAAATAAAAAATAAAAATAACTTGTTTGAATTGTGTTCTAGTGTTTTATGGAAAGGAGCACGTGTGAGTGCGAGTTCTGAACCTGGGTACTCAGCTGAGGCGATGTCTAAGCACAGTGCTGACAGCATAGCCTGATCTCTCCTTGCTGCTGCTAGCAAATGTAAGAGAGACGAGGAAGAAACCGTTAAGCACAAAAGAGCCAGAACGTGAAGATGTGGAAAATTTTCCTCTGGAGAGAACGGCAAGCGTGTGGCTGGCCAAGTGTGCGCTCGAGCTGAGGTATGTGACCTGTGCGTCCACTCACCCCTTTCAGTAGAAGTCTGCGATGAAGATGGGGTTGTCTAGGGAACAGTCTGATTTTACAGCTTGGACCCCAATGACTTGCACAAGAGACCAACAAGGCTCTTGAGAATCTCACACCCACAGAAACACTGCCGACCTGGACTGAAAGGCATGGAGGTGAAGGGAAGGAAGGCTGATTCTGAGGGAGGAACCATGGATGCAGAGGCCAGAGAACGCACGAGGCTGGGGCTGTCTCCCGTTTCAGAGCATGGGGTCATTCCAGCAGGCCCAGAGGAAAGAATCGCAGGCCACAGAGGATTCCCCTCAGGCCTTAAAACCAAATGAATTTTGCCCTGCTGGGCTTGGGACCTGATTGGGACTGGTGACCTCTTTTTTCCTTCCAAGTTGCCCTTTTGGAGTGGGAGTATCTATCCTAGACCTGCCCACCGTCGTATTTTGGTGGGAGGTAACTTGTTTTTTTTTTTTTGAGACGGAGTTTCGCTCCTGTTACCCAGGCTGGAGTGCAATGGCGTGATCTCGGCTCACTGCAACCTCCGTCTCCTGGGTTCAGGTAATTCTCCTGCCTCAGCCTCCTGAGTAGCTGGGACTATAGGCACGCGCCACCATGCCCAGCTAATTTTTGTATTTTTTTTAGTAGAGACGGGGTTTCACCACGTTGACCAGGATGGTCTCGATCTGTTGACCTCGTGATCCACCCGCCTCAGCCTCCCAAAGTGCTGGGATTACAGGCGCCCGGCCGGAGGTAACTTGTTTTATAGGTTTACAGTGGCAAGCAGAACCCGTGGACCGACTGTGAGAGCTGGTTTGGGGAGGAATAGATGACAGAAACACTGGAGGACTGGGGCAGGCAGGGTTGTCACAAAGGGGAGGAGCAGGGAGGTGACAGGGGCCTTACCTGCAGTCACCGAGCTCCCTGGGCCTGTGGATACAGAGTGGTTTCGATTAGTGTGGAGCCTCCCAGGGTCTGCAGCAGGACAGCGTGGCCCTCCTTACACCATGAAGTGTAGATGGAGGGGCAGTCAGGCTCAGGGGCTGGGGGCTAAGCAGGCTGACCTTGGCATGCTTCCTCCTCAAGTCTAAGTCATGTTCAGATGCAAAACTCGCTCCTCCAGGAACAGGGCGAAATGGAATTATAAAAAGTACTTAGATGACCTGGCTGGGCGTAGTGGCTCATGCCTGTAATCCCAGCACTTTGGGAGGGTGAGGTGGGTGGATTCCTTGAGCCCAGGAGTTTGAGACCAGTCTGGGCAACATGGTGAAACCCCATCTCTAAAAAAAAAAAAAAAAAAAAAAAAAAAAAAAAATTAGCCAGGTTTGGTAGTGTATACCTGTAGTCCCAGCTACTCAGGAGGCTGAGGCACTAGAACTGCTTCAACCAGGGAGATGGAGGTTGCAGTGAGCCAAGATCGCACCACTGTACTCCAGCCTGGGCGACACAGTGAGACCCTGTCTCAAACAACGAAACAAAAAGTACTTAGGTGCCCTATTACCAGCCAACAAGTTGTAGAATCCCCTCCCCATCTCAGAGCCTGCAGGGAGCAACCAGGGCATCACTCCCCATGTTCAGAGGAAGCTCCCTGCCCCTCACTCTGGCCCCACTGACTCCAGTTGGGCACAGAATTCTAGTGACCAGGTATTGACTTTCCTAGATGAAGCAATCAGGTGGTGGGGGAGGCTGTGCCTGATGCCAGGAGACAGACTGGGGACAGCTAAAGGTAGCCTGCCAGGGAGGAGACAGAGAACCCATCAACCCCCCAACCCTGAGCCTCAACCACAGGCCCAGGTGGCCACTTTGGTGGCCTCCAGAGAAGGATAAGGCAGGGTCCCACACTCACTGGTGAAGAGTTGCTGGATTCGAGGAAAGCCAGTGCCAGGCCCACCCAGGAGGATGCTGATGACGATCCATGTGAGACCCACAGTGACAACTAGGGCCACAATGCGGAGAGGGCCTGAAGGCAGGATAGACACAGGGCAGGCTCGCCTCAGACACGGTGAACTCCAGAATGACCCCACAGCCTTGCATGACTGGGTCTCCCCTGCCACTTGGAAAGAAGTGGCTGGAGGACAGGAAGGTGACCTGTCGCCTTCCACCAGGCCTGAGAGGGAGAAGAGCTCCCTGACAGGGAGGAGGAAACTGAGTTCAAATCCCAAGGCTCCCTGGCATGTCTGGAAGGGGGCTTTCCAGAACTCTCTGTTCAAGAAGGGCTACAGCCTTCTTCAAGGAACCACCTCAACTTCCTGCCTTTGAAAGCACCAATATATTTGGGCACCCACCTACCCCTGCTTTCCTCCTGTTCTAAGAGAGAAGGGTCCCTATTCCCTTTTAAAAGCAGTCCCTAGCCGGGTGCGGTGGCTCAAGCATGTAATCCCAGCACTTTGGGAGGCCGAGGCGGGTGGATCACGAGGTCAAGAGATCGAGACCATCCTGGTCAACATGGTGAAACCCCGTCTCTACTAAAAATACAAAAAATTAGCTGGGCATCGTGGCACATGCCTGTAATCCCACCTACTCGGGAGGCTGAGGCAGGAGAATTGCCTGAACCCAGGAGGCAGAGGTTGCGGTGAGCCGAGATGGTGCCATTGCACTCCAGCCTGGGGAAGAGTGAAATTCCGTCTCGAAAAAAAAAAAAAAGCAGTCCCTTTACCTGCTGGGACCTGGACTGCAATCTCTGATTTCTTGTAATAGTGATCACTCTCTCTAGCTCACTCTTTCTCCTGTATTTTCTTTCTTTCTTTCTTTTTTTTTTTTTTGAGACGGAGTTTCGCTCTTGTTACCCAGGCTGGAGTGCAATGGCGCGATCTCGGCTCACCGCAACCTCCGCCTCCTGGGTTCGGGCAATTCTCCTGCCTCAGCCTCCTGAGGAGCTGGGATTACAGGCATGTGCCACCATGCCCAGCTAATTTTTTGTATTTTTAGTAGAGACGGGGTTTCACCATGTTGACCAGGATGGTCTCGATCTCTTGACCTCGTGATCCGCCCACCTCGGCCTCCCAAAGTGCTGGGATTACAGGCGTGAGCCAACCGCGCCCGGCCCTCTCCTGTATTTTCAACATCTCCAATGTTTAGGAAGAAAAGAAAACACTCTTCTTCAAAACCACACCCCCACGCTCTCTCCCTAACCTTCCTCTTCCCTGTCAACCCCCTGCCCCAGAGTCATCTATACTCACTCCATCATGTCACCTCCTACTCCCTCCCACCCTACTCCAGCCTGGCCTGGCCTCCGCCACCCCACCAAATCAGCTTGTTGCCAAGGCCGCTGATGACCTTTGTGGTGTCACCACCGCTGGTCACCTGTCAGCTCTGATCTTCCTTGACCTCTCCGTAGGTTGCCCATGTCCTCCTGACGGATTCACTTCTCTGTTGGCTTCCAGAACAGCACGTTCTCTGGACACTCCTCATTCTCCTTAGACTGTTTTCCTCTACCCTTCCCTTAAAAGTTGGACTTTCTCAGGCTTCCGTCCCAGGCTGCCTTCTGGTCCCTACCTGTAGTATCTTTTTACTTTTTATTTTTGAGACGGAGTCTCACTCTTGTCCCCCAGGCTGGAGTGCAATGGTACGGTCTTGGCTCACTGCAACCTCTGCCTCCTGGGTTCAGGCAATTCTCCTGCCTCAGCCTCCCAAGTAGTTGGGATTACAGGTGCATGCCATCATGCCTGGCTAATTTTTGTAGTTTTAGTAGAGATGGGGTTTCACCATGTAGGCCAGGGTGGTCTTTAACTTCTAATCTTAGGTGATCCACCCACGTCGGCCTCCCAGAGTGTTGGGATTACAGGTGTGAACCACCGTGCCTGGCTGTCTCTTCTTATTTTTTTGAGACAGCCTCACTCTGTTGCCCAGGCTGGAGTGTGCAGTGGCACGATCTCGGCTCACTTCAACCTCAGCGTCCCGGGTAGCTGGGATTACAGGTACCTGCCACCATGCCTGGCTAATTTTTTCTATTATTTAGTAAAGATGGGGATTCACCATGTTCGCCAGGCTGGTCTCGAACTCCTGTCTTTAAGTGATCCACCCACCTTGGACTCCCAAAGTGCTGGGATTACAGGCATGAGCTACTGTGCCTGGCCTGTAGTGGCTTTTTAGATGATGTCATCTACTCCTAGCTCTTTAATTAACCACCATGTGTCAATGACTTCCTATTTTCTAGTGCCAGCCCTGATCTCTCTTGAAACTACTCCCTGCCAGCTGGTTCCTCACTGGCCAGCTCCACTTGGGTATGTCCATAAAGTTGCCACCTTAGCAAGTCTGAAGTCCAATTCCTGAGTTCTACTCTCTACCCCACCCCAATTTATCCCTCGCAAAGGATCTTCATCTTTGTCCAGGTGACAGCAGGGGTGTCATTGGGTTTACATAGAAGCCCACAGTTTTGTCACTTCCCCTCTAAGACCACGCCTCTCCAGCTGGACTCCCCGAGTTTTCTCTCTCACCACTCATTTTCCAAAAAGCAGCTGGTCTGCTATCTGCGTTGGGAGATGCTGACTACACTAATTCTCATGTCACAGCTTGAGGAGCTAGTGTCCTCAGAGGTGAAAGGCTTTAGTTAAGGTCAAGGAATGAGTGTTTGTGCAGAGTCCTCCATTTCCAAAACCAAACCCAATGGTCCACCCGGGCCTCTCCAGACACAGATGTCGGGACGGTGGGCCTCCAATCAGGTGCCCTTTTCAACTCCGTCCCGTTCGCTGTGGAAGCCACCCACCTGCCAACCTCATGTCCACTTCTCCCGCTGGGTTGGGACCGCCGGCAGATGCACTGTTTGGGGGGAAAGCGGAAGAACACGTTTGGGTGGGGGTCAGGGGCAAGCCTGTGCGGGACCCCTGCTGGGGTCGGGCGCGATCGGTGCTACGGTATGTTCGTCTAGCCGCCCGGCCAGGCAGGGTTCCTCGGAAACACGGGGGGAAACCCTGCCTGGCCGGGAGGGGCTTCAGGAACCCGTTGGCTCACGATCTTGCCCAGAGGAGCCTCCGGGGCTGGGACGTAGAAGTAGTTCTCCTGGGCTTGGGCCGTTCCTCCGGGCCTAGGGGCTGGCGATGCGGGCCGGGCCGGAGACTTCTCTGGCCGTGGGGAGACGTGAGCTCGGTCAGGGAGATTCCCTGTCAGGCCTGCCGACTCGCTCCGCCCGGGAAAAGGAGGCCAAGGCGCTGCGCAGGGCGCCCAGGCAGGCCCGGCAATGGCGGCCAAGGGCGGGGCCACAGCCCGTGGGCCCCGCCCCCGCCCCCCACCCCGGCAGCGACCGCGCCGTCGGTCTCCGCGCAGGCCTGCCTCCAGGCCCATCTCTACGGCTCTAGCCCGCCGCCGGATGGGAGGGGCCTGAGCCTGCCCCGCCCCTGGATCCTTCGCCGGCTCCCGCTCCGTAGTACGTTCAGGCTGAGCCCGCCCGCCGCCAAGTGGGAGGGGCCCGCGTCGGTACCGCCCCGGAAGTCTCCCCTCGGCCTCTTGGTTGGGAGAGAGCACTGCGTAGTAGGATTGGAGGGCTGGGGCTCTGCTTGCGACCTGAGATCAGATTTCTGTGGCATGGGAATACGCAGTTGGATGTGGGACAGAATTAGAACCTGTTCCAAAGTTGATCCATGCACCTTGTAAAGGCAAGGGAGGTACAGAGGCGCAGACAGGGAAGACCGCAGGATCCTGAGCTCGTCTGTTTTCTGTCCAGAAGCGCGTTCCTGCTGTCTCTCCTATCAGTGTTATAATGAGATGGGGCATTTGTAACGCTGTTTCGACATCCTTAAAAACTTTTCCCTGCTCCGCTTGCGTAATCTGTCATCCGTTTCCCCCAGACCTGTTCAAGCTGTGTTGTTTACGCCACACCCCACCCTAAAAACGTTCGCGGTTCATTGGAGGGGGGAGTCTAGCGCTATAACCCGAGGCTTTCACAGCAAACCAGAATTTATTTTGAGGCCTCTCAGGTTGACATTTCAAGTCACGTGACTTTCACGTCCTACACAACTCTTATTTTCACTGGAAAACAAATGAAATAAAAACACAACTCTTACTTTCACTTGAAAACAGATGTGATGTCGTGAATTCCCTAACAATAGGAAAAAGGAAGGCTCTGGAAAGAGCGGTGCTTGGCTTTCCCTGCGGCTCCAAGCGGTGCCCAGTACCCAGCCAACTGTGTGAACCTGGGATGGCCTTTGGCCCTTCCCCAATTCTGCCTGGCTGCCTGGCTCTCTCCCCTCTGCGCTTGCCCGCATGCTGCCCCCACACCCTTCCCGGGCTCTGTCTGCCCATCAGAACCCGGGTCAAGCTCCCGTACCTTCTGCCCTTCGGCTGCCCCAAGTGTGCCCTGACCACCTACTGCTCTGGCATGGCCGGGGCCACCCTGACAGCTGATTCATCTGTCTGGAGGGCAGCAGCAGGGCTGAATGAGAACCACGGAAACCTCCCTGCCCTTTGACCCAACTTGCGAGAATCTCCTACCCTCAAGGAAACACTTCAAAATATAGAGTAAGTTTATAGAGTCAGGGATGGGAGAGGCCTGATTAGAATCCAGCAGTTTCTGTACTGGAGTATGCAACAGCGTCAAGGTAATCCCTTTTCAGCTGGGGCCAGGGCTTTGCATTTGGGTTTTGTCATGGAATTTCACAGCTTCTCAAGTAATTATGGTACAGAATCTTGGGCTCCATGACCTCCTGGTAGGGGGTAGTCGAAGAAGCGCCAGGTTACTGACACCCTTGAGCTGCCAGCCAGGCCCGGGGCGGCTGCTATGCCGGTGGTTCTTCAAGGGCAATGTTTACATGTTGCTCAGAACAGGCATTTATGATAGTTTTTTTTTTTTTTTTGAGACGGAGTTTCGCTCTTGTTACCCAGGCTGGAGTGCGATGGCACGATCTTGGCTCACTGCAACCTCCGCCTCCTGGGTTCAGGCAATTCTCCTGCCTCAGCCTCCTGAGTAGCTGGGATTACAGGCACAAGCCACCATGCCCAGCTAATTTTTTGTATTTTTAGTAGAGACGGGGTTTCACCATGTTGACCAGGATGGTCTCGATCTCTCGACCTCGTGATCCACCTGCCTCGGCCTCCCAAAGTGCTGGGATTACAGGCTTGAGCCACCGCGCCCGGCCATGATAGGTTGTTTTAATGAGTCTCCCTGAGTGTCCAGAGACAACTCTCCCTTCTCTGGGGACACCACGTGCGTGATGGACCAGAGGCCTGGGATTCAGTTCCAGATCTTCCGTGCCTCCCGGAGCAGCCCTGCAAAAATCCCTTATTTTCTCTGGGATGGTTTTGATTCCTGTGGGGGTCTGGCCAGCATAGTAGGTAGAGCTCCTGGTTTTCTCTCACCATCCAGTCCGAAGTTCTGGAGGACACTCACTGTCATCTGTTCTTCCAGGTCAGTCCTCATAGATTAGGGCAGCTTCAGCAGTTCTCAAATAGCAGATACCGCAAAATGGGGGTGGGCAATCCTGTAGCAGACATCTCTGGGTATTTTTGAAAGACACCCTGGGTATTTTTGAAACCTTGTTCTGAAGAAAGAAAAATCCAAGGTATACACACACTTAAAGCCAGGAGGGGCACCTGCCGGGGAGAATGCATAAAAGATAGAAACAAAAACAGAGAGCTGAAGCTGAGGGTAACACCCACCATGGGCTCCAAGGAAGGAAAACTGTCCAGACCCCAGCCACAATTAGTGCCTGAAGAATATCTTAGTTTATAGTGTTATTACTCAGCTGTTTCCTTTATATAATCCTTTATATATAATCATATATTAGTTTATAGAATTAGTGCCTGAAGTATAACTTACTGCTTACATATATCTAGCTTATATAATCATGCTTAATGCTTATATCTAGCATACTTAGTTCTATATCATCTTTCTAAATAATCTTATAGGTATTGTAGTCAGAGCTGTACCAACACATTTAGTGCTGATTTATAGAATCCTTCCATATAACCATATAGTAATTTGTAGTAGGAGGAATGCCTAGAGCAGTCACAGAACAGAAGCAGTACTTGGGAAAACAGCCAGACCAGGACGAGAACCAAAGATACAGGCAGTGGTGTCCCTGCCTGAAAGGGCACACGCTGAACGGCAGACTTGGAGCAAGAACCTCTCCTGAGAAAGGAGTTGTAGCGCCTTGCATCCAGTTCCTGTGGAAAGTCGGCCTCAGGCCTGAGATCCTGGAAGTAACTGCGGGAGAAGAACCCCTCTGGTGTGACCAGTCATGGCGGCTGGACACCCTGTCAGTCTTTTCTCACTTCTGTGCTAGCTCAAATCATCCTCCCATAAATATCTTTTTTTTTTTTTTTTTTTTTTTTGAGACGGAGTTTCGCTCTTGTTACCCAGACTGGAGTGCAATGGCGCGATCCCGGCTCACCGCAACCTCCGCCTCCTGGGTTCAGGCAATTCTCCTGCCTCAGCCTCCTGAGTAGCTGGGATTACAGGCACGCGCCACCATGCCCAGCTAATTTTTTGTATTTTTAGTAGAGACGGGGTTTCACCATGTTGACCAGGATGGTCTCGATCTCTTGACTTCGTGATCCACCCGTCTCGGCCTCCCAAAGTGCTGGGATTACAGGCTTGAGCCACTGCACCCGGCCCCATAAATATCTTAAGAGAAGAGCACAAGTCTGTCAGCTCCCACTGCACTGGCTTACAGCAGGCGTCCCCAAACTACGGCCCGCGGGCCGCATGCGGCCCCCTGAGGCCATTTATCCGGCCCCCGCCGCACTTTAGGAAGGGGCACCTCTTTCATTGGTGGTCAGTGAGAGGAGCACAGTATGTGGCGGCCCGCCAACGGTCTGAGGGACAGTGAACTGGCCCCCTGTGTAAAAAGTTTGGGGACGCCTGGCTTACAGTATCCTTCTATTAGAAACTCTTTGAAGTCTCCAGCCCCCAGATAAGAAGTGTTGCCCATGACAACTGCTGCACACAGCCCGCCTCCTTGCCTCGGTGACCTAATGGGGGTGGATCCTTTTTCTGTACACGACTCTCTACTACTGTGCACGGCACGGCCTCCTACTGCGCACCTGCCCACCTCTCTGCCCAGGTGACATAATAGGATGGCCCCCTTGCTTGTGACTCACGTGATTATGTATGCCCTATTACTAAGCCTGTAGATGATGACCTCACTCACGACCCTGCCCCCTGCTTGTACCTAATAAATACAGATGCTTCTGGGCATTTGGGGCTCTCGCCGATCTCCGCTCACAGGTGGCATGGCCCCCTGAGTCCAGATGCTCTTCATCAGTTCTTCAGCGTCCTGTCTCTTTACTTCTCGGCTCCTGCACCTCAGCACAGCATAAAGGACAGCCCACGACCCTGTGGGGCCTAACAGCCCTAGAGAAGCCTCCGCCAGAGACTGAGCTCTCCGCAAGGAGAGCACCTTTCAGTGCCGTGGCCAAGGGGATGGCAAGCCTCCTGAGGGCCTGGAAGAGCAGGAAACTGAGGGCAAGTTACAGACACACCATGGGATAATCTCTATACAGAAAGGGGCGCTCCCAAATACTACTATATATTTATAGATGTACTTTTGTATTGGGGTAAGACATATATAACATAACATTTGCCATCCAAATCATTTTAAGTATATGATCCTGTGGCATCAGTTACATTCACAATGTTGTGCAACCATCACTACTATCTTTGTGTGCATGTGCATGTGTGTGTATTACTTTTATGGGCACGTATATATGTCCATAGAAATATAGAGAGTTCTTTTTAAAATTCCATCATCTATCTATCTATCTATCTATCTATCTATCTATCTATGTATTTTTTTGAGAGAGTCTCGCTCTGTTGCCCAGGCTGGAGTGCAGTACCACGATCTTGGCTCACTGCAACCCCTCCCTCCTGGGTTTAAGTGATTCTCCTCCCTTGGCCTCCTGTGTAGCTGGAACTGCAGGGGCCTACTTTTTTTTATATTTTTAGTAGAGATGGGGTTTCACTGTGTTGGCTAGGCTGGTCTCGAACTCCTGACCTCCGGTGATCCACCTGCCTTGGCCTTCCAAAGTACTAGAATTACAGGCGCGAGCCACCATGCCCAGCAATCAATACATATTTCATTTCCACCAATACAGAAGCATCAATTAACAGTGACTGCTTGATACTTTTCAGCAGTGACTTGAGAAGGGCTCTGAATGAGCCACCTACATGGAACACAGAATTTAAGATGTGCAAATATGGAGACCAGAATGCTCGTTGTGGGAACAGAAGACGGCTGTGGATAGAGAGGAGCACAGTCAGCAGTGGGAGGGAGTTCATGCTCAACAACTGGCAATAAGTGA